AAAAGCTTCTTTGAATAAATTCTCCTCTGGAACTGCTTTAGGAGTATCTTCATTTGCTCGAAGATGCTCTATCAGATTTTGTTGGTGCCAATTCTGAAGAGCTCTTTGATGAGCAGGGGCTGGTCCTGGCACTGGTGCCAGTATGTTGTGGTGGACAGGACTGTTGCTTTTCTTTCGTCCGTTTCTATCCCGAGAGTGGTTCTTCAATCTGCCCTGAACCGGGGTCCCTCTATGCTCATATCCTTCCTGCTGAAGGCAGCTTCCAGTGTTGGGTGAACCTTGAGAAGGATGAGTAAACCACCTCCAGCGTAGCCTTAGGATCTGTTTCACATCAAACTCTTTCTTGCCAGACACTGACATTGTTGCAAGGAGAAAGACAAAAGCCTTCTTTCACAGCAGGAAAACAGAGCCTTTGTTATCTGTTTTGCTGCCTCTTCTGTAAAACTAACAAAAGCACAAATGCCTAGAGCCGGCTATCTGGCTTTCTCTTCCCCCTCCCCTGCCTGTAGTACACTGTGAATACTTCTAACCTTCAAGCTGAAGTAGAAAGCTGCAGCTAACTGTGCAGGTGGGAACCCATACTGACAGGATGATGAGGTCAGACCTCAAACAAGTAAATCAGCTTAGCACAGGAAAGCAGCAACCATAACACACTCCAGCTGCTAGATTTGCATGCTGCAGCCCTCCTGCTTGGACTTGTAAATATCTAACCCAGCTTTTTCAGTACCCAGAGTACAGTAGCTGTGGCTTAATCCCAGGCAATTAAGCAAAAGCAAAATCTTTAAACTCACTTCCTTCTAGAGTCTCTACACTAGCCCTCCCCCGCCCTGCCCTGTCAGATAAATTTCCTGGAGAGCCCACTTGTGAAAATATGTCACTTAGTCCTAGGAAATTTTATGACAAGGGAATTCATTATGGTCTATTTTTGGTTTTTTTTCTTATGGAAATTTTGAAAGTAGTTCATTAAGAGAAAGCATCTTGTTATCTTACAAGCTTTTAGTTATTTTTACAAAATGCTTCTGAAAGTAGGAATGCCTCTGTATAAGCATTTGCTTCAAAACCTGAACAGTTTCAGAAACAACAAAATGTTGGTTACCCACAGTTACAATCACACACACACACACACACACACACACACACACACTCTACATTGAAATGTAGATGATATTTTAAATCTACCTCTGAAAGAGTGGTACTTTTCTAAGCTGGTAAGGTTGAAGGAGATGTCATCCCTCAGTGACCAAAACTTGAAAATGAATAGGCTATTCTGGCGCCATGCCTGTATAAACACCTCCTTATCATGTCCTTTACTTTCACAGGCATTGCTAAAAGTTTATTTTATTTTTCAAAGGCCCTTAGGAGAGGAAACAACAGGGAATATTTTGAATCACCTCCAAATCATCACACAACTCAGTAATAATTGCATCAAGTAATTTAGGATTTGGATCAAAATTACTATTCTGAACACAAGTAAACATTTCTGAAACAGATAGTCATATATCAAGAATGTATTTACCAATGTCATTTTGAAATTAAGTTTGAAGTTCATCCAGCTCTCATGCCATGCATACAGGTGATAAGGGGAAAAGTTGTAGCAATGTACCATTAAAAAGTATAATGACATTTTAACATTTTGGTTTTAGGTCTGGCCCTACAGGAGCTCTGTTGGTGCAGTGGTTAAATCAGTAGGCTGCTAACCAAAACGTTAGCAGTTAGAACCCACAAGCTGCTCCATGGGAGAAAGACCAGGCAATTTGGTTTTATAAATATTTTACGGCATTGGAAAAACAAACCCCGTGGGGCAGTTCTACTCTGTCCTATAGGTCGTTAAGGTTGCTATGAGTCAGAATCAGCTCTATAGCAGTGTGTTTAGTTGCTATCATTTGTGAATTGTGTGACCATGGACAAGTTATATTTCTTCTTTGCATTTCAGTTTCCATATATCGTTTGGAGAGGTTGAACAGATTGAGACTTTTCTAACAAGGAAATAAAAAAAAAAAACCTTAGAAATATAGAAGGAAATTAATCTCTTTTTCTGAGGTTTGCTAAATATTCTCCCTAGAGTTTTCTACAAATCCAATCATCTGTCCCATTTCTCTCCTCTTCTGTTTGTTAAGTTAGTGAATATAAATATACATTGATAGATATATACTTGACTTTTATAGCTGTTACAAATAGAACACTCTTCTCTTCAACTTCTCGATATATTTTCCAACAGGCTATTTAAGCATTAGTGTTAACGTTTATTATCATCTCTCCTTGGTGAGTTGGTATGCAGCCTGTAAATAATTGAAAACAATCTTCGATATTTCTTCTGATCGTTCTTCTTATTGTTGTTATGTGCCATTGAGTTGTCTCCAACTAATAGCGATCCTATGCACAACAGAATGAAACACTGCCCAGTCCTGTGCCAGCCTCATGATTCCTATTATACCTGAGCCCATCACTGCAGCCACTATGTCAATCCATCTTGTTGAGGGCCATCCCCTTTTTCATTGACCCTCCATTTTACCAAGAATGACATCCGACTCCAGAAAATGGTGCCTTCTGACAACATGACCAAAATAGGTTGAGACGAAGTCTGGCCATTCTCACTTCAAGGAGGATTCCAGCTGCACTACTTCCAGGACAGATTTGTTAGTTCCTTTAGCAGTCCATGGTACTTTCAGCGTTCTTCGCCAACATCACAACTCAAACTGTGAGTCAATCTGAAGCCAGAGTTCTAGCAGCCTCCAGGAAAATCTTTAACCAGAAACCTTTTAGTGTCAGTAGTGTTAACAGAACTTTTGTAATTCTAAACACTCCTTAGGGCCTTTATCTGCCCTCCAGTCTCAGCAGGTATCAAGGAACTTCCTCC